TGCTGCGGCGGCCTGCCAGGCGGGCGCACCCGCGATGGCGGCGACCACTCGCTGCAGCAGGGCGGCAAAGGTGGGCCCCTGCCCCTGCCCATCCTGGAACTCGATGTCGGCGTAATGACCAGCCAGCCAGCACGCCTTGGCCCTGCGTGCAGCCGGGGCGGTGGGATACCGGGGTGGGATACTGGGGCCAGGCAAGGGCCGGGGCGGGGTGGCAGGAGTGAAATAGGGGGCTGAGGGGTCCGTGCAGCGGAGGTCGGTTCCCAGCACACGTCCCAGCATCAATGGAGAGGCGTCAGGAGGGCACGGGCCACAGCCCACTCTTGCCCCCAGCAGGCACAGCAGCAGCAGCAGCAGCAGCAGCAGCAGCAGCAGCAGCCACCACCAGGCGCAGCGGGCGCCCACCTCAGGTGGCCGTGCGGCGACTCAAAGAGCGGTACCACGTGCTGCACCAGCATCGGCTCCAGCTGCCCGCTGTACGGCTTCTTGTCCTGCGCGGGGCAGCGAGGCCAGGCGCAGGCGGTGCGGCGGCGGGAGGAGAGAGCTGGGAGGAGGAGTGGAGGTGGGGGCACGCCACACCCACCGCTGCCACCAACCACGCCACCACAAAAACAAAGGTAGGCCACCACGATGCGCTGCCACCCACGCACCCACCCAGCACTGCCATCACACACACATGCACACACGCACACGCACACACACGCACACACAGCCACCACACGACCATCGAAACACACACACCTCCCCTCCACCCCTTCCCCACCCACCCACCCTACCTTGAGCACGTCTGACAGCGTGCCGATGGCCAGCAGCGCGCCGTCCATCTTGCGGGCCAGCGCCACGGGGGCGCCCGGGTGCGCCGCCTGGTACTCATTCAGCACCCCTACAAGGTGCTGCGGCAGAACGGAGGAGGGAGGGAGGGAGGGGGCGGGGTGGAGGGGAGGTGTGTGTGTTTCGATACGCGCCGGCTGCTGTAAGGTTGCGCCGTAGGCCGCACGGGCGACGGACTCCCAGCCCCTGCCCAACCCCAGCTCGCCTCCCTGCCGTCCAGCCACCCAAACCACCCGCTCTCCCAGCCTCTCCCACCACACCCACGCACGCCGCCCCCACCACACAAGCAATCTCGCAGAGATGCAGATGTCCCGCTGCCCCGCTCGCCAAACCCACCACCACCACCACCTGCTCACCCACCGCGCCACGCCACGCCACGCCACGCCACGCCTGCCCCCCCGCCTCACCGCCATCAGCATGTCCAGGTTGCCCTTGGCGCGCGCCTTGCAGAGCTCGTGCAGGAAGTTCATGGCAGCGGTCTTGGTGGAGTAGATGTCCTCCATGATGTCGTAGCCCTGCGGTACAGCCGGGCGGTATGGTATGGTACGATACGGTATGAAGCAGTACGGTTTCAGTACGGCGGCACACGTTCGGCCTCCAGGCGATGCAGAACGGAACAAAGGGTGGAGCGCGCCGGGCGGCGGGGCTGGCAGCAGGCGCGGGCTGGGCGGGCGCGGCGGCGGCGGCAGCGCCTGCCTCCTCCGGACCCACGAACACACATACACACACGCGCGCGCACACACACATGCACACACACACACATGCGCTGCCACTGCCCAGCCCGGCGCCCCCCCACCTTGCGTATGTACTCCTGCGGGTCATCCTCCCACAGCTCCGCATCCTCGTCGTCAAAGCACAGCAGCGGGAACACCACGCTGCGGGCAGGGGGAGGGGCCGGGGGTGGACGGGGGGTGGGGTGGGGGTGCGCACAGGCGGCCCGGCAGGTCGGCTGCAGGCTGCATGGAGTGCAGGGCGAGGCAGGCTGGAGGAGGCAGGCATTCTCGCAGCAAAACCGCCACCACCGCCGCCGCCACCGCCGCCACCACCACCACCGCCACCACCACCGCTACCACCGCCGCCACCGCCGCCGCCGCTCACTGCAGCAGCATCTGCTCCACATACGGCTTCAGCGCCTTCCACGTGTGGCTGTAGGCCAGAGCCTGCAGGGTGGAGGGACGGTGGGTGGGTGGGAAAAGAAGGGGCGGGTGGCGCGAGGATGGGACAAGCGCAGGCACCCCTGGCGTGCAGCCGCACCCCACCCCGCCGCACCCTCCGCACAGCAGCGCCCACAGCGGGCAGCAGCATGGCGGGCGGGGGTGCGACGGGCAGACCCAGGCGGGCCCAGGTGGCCACCCTGGCGCCTGCCCGCCTCACACCCCACAGCCCACCCCACCTGCGTGATGTATGACAGCAGCAGGTTGATGACGCGGGGGGACTGGTAGCCGCCCTGCGGGAGGGAGGCGGGAGGGAGGTGGGAGGGGCAGGCATGCGCACATGTGAGAGTGTCCCGAGCCGGGGCCGGGGGCCAGCGGTTGGCGCCGACCAGGCACGCAGGCCAGGGCCGAGGGAGGGCGCAGGGCAGGCTGAGAGGCTGCACTCCTCGCTTGTGTCGGCCGGCATGCCGCGCGCCGCTGCCCCAGCTCCCCGGGCCCGCTCTCTGCTCAGCTGGCCCCCACCTGCGCCAGTACCGCCAGCTGCGCCAGCGCGGCTTGCAAAAAGGTGAGGGAGCACTCCTTCTGGAAGCGCTGTGCAAAGGCCACATCCTCCTTCTCGCTGCACAGCTTGGGGTCGCCGTACCTGCAGGCGGTACATGCGGTACCAGGGGACAGTACAAGGACCGGTTCATGTGGCGGTAGCAGGCGGTCAGGAGCGTGGTACCACGGGCAGGCGAGGCAGAGCAGCCATGGGAGGCGGGGCGGCGAGGGGACGCCGCGTGCGCCCACGCTCGCCCACCCTCTCGCCCATCCCCCGGCACTTTCCGGCCGCTAGTGCACCACCGCACCCGCGTCGCCACCCTGCTGCTCCCACCTGTTGAACAGGCGCGAGGCGATGTGCATGACCCACTTCTTGGCCTTGTTCCACTGCCACCCCTTGCGAGCGTCGGGGTCGGCGGGCAGCTGGTCCTGCACACGCACATACACACACACAGAGGAGGCGTGGCAGGCGGGCGGGCATGCCTGGGTGGGGTGCAAGGAGCGGGTTGGACAGGCACGGTGGTGGTGGCATGCAGGGCGGGCTGCAAGGATCTGGCTATACCTGCTCCCTGCCCGCTGCTCCATGCAGCCGCTGCAGGCCCGGGCGCGCTGGCAGCCAGCCCAGCCCAAGCCCAGCCCAGCACGCAGCACCACGCAAGCGCCACACCAGCACCACACAAACGGCACACCAGCGCCACGCCAGCGCCACACGAGCGCCGCGCGGCCCCACCAGCGGCAGTGGCTTGGTCATGAGGCCGTGGAAGCAGCTCATCCAGCCGCTGAACTGCTCGGGCTGGTTGAGGACGGCGGGGATGGACATGTAGGTGGCAGACCTGCGGCGTGTGTGTGTGTGTGTGAGTGTGAGTGTGTGTGTGTGTCGCCAGAGGTGCTCGTGCATTGGTCATTCTCAAAGGATGCGGATGAAGGATGCTGGTTCCTTGAGCCATGTGACCATGTCATCTGTCGTGCACGCTCGGCGCGGCATTGGGGCAGGCGCCAGCCAGGCTGCGGCGCGCCGGAGCTGCTGGTGGTGCAGCCGCCGCCCCACCAGCGCCACCAGCGGCGCACCAGAAGGTCTTGCAGACCAGCTTGAGCAGCTCGGCGAGCTCTGGGGAGGAGGAGTCCATGGCCAGCAGCATCTGTGGGGGAGGAGGGGGCAAGTGGGTGCGGCAGGTGCTGGGCTGTGCTGGGCTGGGCAGCAGCAACGCGCAGCGTGGCACGGCCGGCGCGGTGTGGTCGGCGCAGGGTGCATAGTGGTGCGATGCAGGCGGGCTGCGATGCAGGCGCGCGCTGCACGCGTGCGCAGGAGCGGCAGCAGCGGGCGGGCGGCGCTATCGGAGACTGCAGCGCATCGGCATGCCCGCAGGCCGGTCTGATGGTTGATCCTTGAGTACTGGTCTCATCACGTGGCGCCGGCGCGAGCGGCGGCAGCCGGCAGCGCCACCGCCGCCGCCGCAGCGGCGGCCCCAGCGGCGGCTCGGCGCCATGCAGGCAGCGCAGGAAGCGCAGGCGGCAACACAAACAACACACGCACGCGCAGCGTGCCCGGCCCAGCCACCGCCGCAGTCGCGCCCTTCGCAACGCTGCCCCGCCTGCCTCCTTTCGGGGCAGGTGTTCCTTGCAGCAGGGGGCTGGCCCATGCACCAACATCACCGGCGTCGCCCCTCCCGCCACGCAACCCACGCCCCACCGCCACTCAACCCGCAGAGCCGCCCCACAGGCGCCCACACATGCACCTGGAAGATGTGCAGCAGGGAAGGGAAGGTGGCATTGACCACTGCCTCCAGCGGCGCCCGCTCTTCCTCGTCGCGGAATTCGTACTTGCGGGCCAGGAAGCGCAGCACGCACAGCGCGCCGCTCACCCGCGCCTGGTCCTGCGAGCGGCGGCGGCGGCGGCGGCGGCGCGGCCGGAGTGAGGCGGCAGGGGCGCGGGCAGGTGCGCTGTGCGGCGGCGCGGCGGCATGCCAGTGCAGCCGCGAAGCCGGATCGATTGACTAGTCCAGCCAGCCAGCCCACGCTCTCACCCTCCTGCACCCAGCCGCCCGGCCCCAACCTCCCGGCAGCCCCGGCAGCCGCCTCAGCAGCCGCCCCAGCCCCAGCCTCCCAGCAGCGGCCTCACTTGCCTGGCTGGTCAGGTACTGCTGCACCTGCGGCAGCAGGTCGGGCCAGTGCTGCGGGTAGTCTGAGTACACCAGGCTGCGCACGCACTCGGCCAGCTGTACCCGCACTGCGTGCGGCGCCCGCGTCACACCCTCCACCATCACACCCCGCACCGCGGCCTTGTCCTCCTCGGCAAGGGGGCTGGCCTTGCCCTCTGCAGGGGGAGGGACCGGCGTGGATGGCGCAGAGGGAGGCATGGGACAAGGGCTGGCGGCGGGCTGGAGCCCCAACCGCCGCGGCGGGGGCAGTCGTCGGCTGGGGCTGCCCACCGGCACTGCTCGGCAGCGCGGATGCGCGCTCCCTCACGCCTGCCAGGTGAGCCTCGGCAGCACCCAGCAGCTGCATGCAGGCCAGCGCCTCACCCTCTGCCTCCCAGTCTCGCTTGACCAGGTTTTTGAAGGAGATGGCGGCCACTTGTCGCACCGCTGGGTCGCACCCCTCCTCCAGCGACACCCGCAGCAGGTTGACCACCTGCCCCCGAGCATGCTTGCTCTGCACGCACGCAGGCCGGGCAAGGCAGCGGTGAGCAGCACGTGGCACGGAGGAGCCAGCAGGCCGCGGGAGTGGCAGGCGGCGGGTGGCGGCGGCGGCGGCGGTGATGGCATGCAGGGGCGGGACATCGCGGCGCGGCACAGCTGGGCAGAGCTGTATCACCCCGCGCAGACACCTGGTTCAGTGCCTCCTCCCCCGCCTTGCGCAAAGCGGGGTCAGGGCTGGTGCAGGCCCCGAGGGCCGCGATGAGGCTGGGTATGGGGTTGTACATTGGGGTTGTACAATGCTGAAACCGAGCGCAGGGAGGAAGTGGAGGACCTGCACTCGGACATGCGTGCTAGTGAAGACCAACGCTGGCCCCGGTAGCGCTGCTAACAATCCTGAGTGGCATTTCATCTCAATTGAGCATCGTTCCCAGACGTTTTCTGACCTCTGCTTTTCTTGGCCAGCTCAGCCCATCTGGCTGTGCCAATTGCAATCTCCAGGCCAGTTACAAGCTCTCAGAAATTGCTGAGAGGAGCGTGGCGGCGTGTGTGCAGCGAGCAGGGATGAGCTTGCAGCAGTGCAACACGATGGACTGGAAGGCCACCTGGCGGGCCTGGTCAAGGAGACGCTGCGTGAAAACTTTGGCTTGCAAAGTTTGATGTTACACGACCGCCAAGAATTGCAGTACCGTGTTGAGCTGCTAGACCGCGCAGCCTCCGGCTGCCGCCACCGCCCCCCTAAATACCTCCACAAGCAACAGCGGCAGCTCCTCGAAGGGCCCCCTCATCTTGTAGATGTCAGGTGGGCCGCCATCAATGTTGGTGGTTGCGCAGGTGACTGTCTTCTTCACGGGTGGGTGGCAGAGGGCGCGGATGCTGGCGGGGGGTTGGATGGAGCTCCGGGCCGGCAGCTTATTGATGACTTCCTTCCTCTTCTTGCCCAGCTCCCAGGGCTTGCCGCCCTCCTTCCGCTCCCAAACTTCAAACCAGGAGGAGCTCGCCTCCTGGGCCTTCTTGACCATCCTAAGAGCTGCACGCAGGCGGCAAGAAGCGGGCGGGAGGGGGGTGTTGGGGGGGGGGGTAGGGGGGGGGAGGCCGCCGCTCAAGAGCGGCGCGGAGCGGGCAGGCAGGGAGGCGCCGCCGCGAGGGCGAGGAGGGGCGGGGCAGGTAGCGGGCCGTGCCAGCGCAACTGGCGCAGGCGCACGCGGGCTGGGCGGCGCGCCACAGACCCTGGTGGCTGCTGGGCTCAAGGCAGCAGTGGGGAGGGAGAGGTGGCGGGGCAAGCCGGCAGGCGGCGCCCAGCCCAGCCCCCCAGCCCAACTCACCGCCCCTCTGCCTGGCATCGGAACCGGGGGCGTGGATGCCCTTCTCCTTGGCGACGCACGCGGCGCCTGCAGCGGCGGGTGGGCCAGGCGGGGGCCGGGGGTGGTGGGTGTGGCGGGTGGCACCAAGAGTGCATGGTGGAGAGGGGGGTGGAGGCACCAGGCAGCAGGCGCGCCAGCACCTCCGCCGCCCCCGCCCGCACACCGCCACCCACCCACAGCGCAGGCGCACACGCTCCAACGCGGGCGCGCACGCCAACTCAACCCCCGCACCCGCCTCCCGCCGCGCAGGCATGGCGGGCGGGCGGGCAGGCAGGCAGGCAGCACAGCAGGGGCAGGGCGCGCGGGCAGGCCTACTACGGTGGCCACCAGCCCAACTCACCGCCCGCCTCCCTGCCGGCCGCCACCTTTTGGGCATTGGCTTCGTTGAAGATCCCCTTCTGCTTGTCGTAGGTCGCCTTGCCTGCAGATGCGGGTGGGGCAGGCGGAGCGGGAGGGGGGCTGGGGAATGCCAAGAGTGCATGGTGCAGAGGGGGTGGAGGCACCACGCAGCAGGCGCGCCCGCACCTCCGGCACCCCCGCCCGCACACCGCCACCCACCAACAGCGCAGGCGCGGCGCGGCATGCGGGGCGCAGGTGGCGGCAGACGGAAGCGGGTGAGGCATGGCAGGACAGCAGGAGCATGGAGGGTGGGAGGGTCAGAGTGGGGGGAGGCTGGGCAGGCAACAAGGTGTGTGTGTGTGTGTGTGTGTGTGTGTGTGTGTAGCGGGGCAGGCGGCGGGCGGGGGGCGGGCGGGGGGGCGGGGGGCGGGTGTTGGGAGGCGGCACGGGGCATGGCAGGGCAGGCAGGGCAGGGCAGGCAGCAGGCAGCAGGCACAGCAGGGGCAGGGCGTTGGAGGCCGCCACCTGCTCACCTCCAGCCGCACCCGTCGCCTGGCAGCTGCCGGCCGCGGTCACAAACCGCGGCCCCACGCTGAGGCTGCGGTTGAGGATGGTGCCGCCTGGACACAGGGTGGGGCAGGCATCGAAAGCAGTGCGGTGCTGGTCAAGGTCAAGGGCCGGGCGTGGACGCACGCGGGGTGGCGACCTGGGTTGCACCAGCTAGTGCCCTGGCAGCGGTGGCGGGGCGTGCAAGCGGAGCCCCACCTGACGCGGCGCCAGCGCCAGCGGCGCCCTGTTGAAGGGACGAGATCATGCGACGTCGTGCAGCTAACTCTGCGGCTCTCTCCGCAGCCTTGACTACGCGGTCAGCCGCCTTGCGCTTCTTCTTGTTCGTCATCCTGCACGGGAGCGAGGCGCGGGGGTGGAGGGGAGGCGGGTGGGTGCTACGCCACACACGCAACGCTCGAGCCCGCCGGCGGCCAGCGCTGCGCCGTTCACCGACCTGTGGAGGGCCCGCTGGCCGAACGGCGATGAGGGAACAACCCCGGCACCCACCCCCCACCACGCACGCAGGCCAGCACCCGCTTTGTGCCAGCACCCACCTCGTGTTGCCGCCCGTCCAGGTCTCGGTAACCTTCCACTGAGGCGGCTCACCGGGTGCTGGCCAGGTGGGTGCTGGACTGCAGCGCAGCGAGGGGCACAAACAAGCATACAGAGTCAGGAGGAGCAGGGTAGCTGGCACAGGGGTGCGCTTGCAGTCCCACCAGGCAGCCCCACAGCAAGTGCGGCAGGCGGGAGAAGTGCAGCCGGCGGCGGGTGCTGGCGGCGGCAGCCCAGCCAGGCAGCCGCCAGTGCGGCCTCCCCAGCGCATTCGGCGTGCTGAAAAGGCCTCCCAGCAATCCGAATCCCGCGAATTGCAGCCAGAGGGCCTCAACAGGGAGCCAGGCCCGGCCAAAGCTTTTGCGAGCAGCGACCGGCAACGCGGGATCGGGCCCTCGGGGCGAGATCGCTGACCGGCCGCTCACCCTGGAATCCGAGGACCCGACGGGGGAGCCGCGCGATACAGCCCTGAGAGCACGCCCGCTACTCGCGGCGCTCAGGCGTGCCTGTGCGGGGCTTCCAGGGGCTCCAAACTGCAGCACGCGAATGTGGCGAAGGCAGGCGATTGAAGCAAGGCAGAAACAAAGGCTATTGACCGAGCATAGCTGGCGAAGCATGGCATAGCTTGCATCTCACCCTGCCGCCATGCATGGCTGCAGCACCACCAAGAAGGCCAGCACCCAGTCACCTACCGGTCCAGGCACGGTCAGGGACAAGGAGAGCCTGGCCTGGCTTGCAAGCTAGTAGCGCACACACCCGCCGCCGCCTCCCGGTTGCCGCAAGCCCGGCGCCAGCGCCCCAGGTCCGCTGCCTGCGTGGGCGCAGCAATGCGGGTGGCAGCTGGTCAGCGCGCAGGCGGGTAGCTGTCGGTGGGGAGGAGGGCACTGCCATGCACACCAGCCTCAGAAGCCAGCCGCTGCCAGGCAGAGTGCGGGCACGGGCCTGCCGCTGTGGCCGCTCACATGGCGCCCACGCGCAGGCGGAGGCAGGAGGTGGGCGAATCCAATCTCCGCGCCGAGGCGAGGGCCTGGCCGCCCCCACTGCCCGCTTCCGCTGCCTCTCCCCAGGCAGCTGCCAACGGAGACGGCGCGATCGCCTGGCACAGCGCTGCCAAGCGCCACCGGTGTGTGCCAGTGCGGCCGCCCTGCCCGTCCGCCTAACCAATCCCTGCTGCCAGCACACCGGCCTACGAGGGCAGGGAGCACAACACGACGGCGGTCAGTGTGGCGCAAGGCACCAGAAGAGGCAGCAGGGGGCGGCCGCCAGGCCACGCACGCCCACGCCCGCCGGCGCAGGCCGAGGTCAGGAGCCCTGGGGACGCTTTCCTCGAGGCCGGCGCGGCGGGGCAGGGTGAGGAAGCGAGGCGGGCGAGGCAGGCGGCGCAAGCAGTGCAGCCACGCAGCAACCGCGCCTGCGCTGATGGACATGGAGACTGGGGCGCCGAGACAAAGGCGGGCGGTGGAGGCGACGGAGGGCGGCGCACATCCACAGCTGGATGGAAGCGGGGGCAGCTCCCGCTCGCGGCACCGCCACTCCCGCCTCACTGCAGCAGGCTGGGTGAAGGCCGCGTCGCCTGCGCCCGACATGCAGCAGCAGGCACTGGGGAGTTGGGTTGCGGCGGCGGATGCGATGAGGCAAGGCAGGAGGCATGATGCAGTAAGGGCGCGGCGGCGAGACGGGAGGGGCGGGCTGCGGGGCGGCAGGCGCAGCAGACGAGGGCAGGGTATTGTCGGCCACCTGTTGTCTGATCAGCTCGGTCCGCAGGTGCCAGGAACATCCCGCCCCAACCTGCAGCCCGGTTAGGGTGGCGGTGGCGGCGAGGGTGGGCCTGTTGTAAGGCGGCCGCCAACCTCAGGCTCCACTTCCATGCTCTCCTTCCCGCCTGCCAGGCGCATGTGTTTGGGCTTCAACCCCGCCTTTGCATGGCCGCCGTGCTTGGCCATTGAAGACCCCCCTTGCGGGCGGCAAGGAACTATGGTGGACATGTGAGGATGATCGCAAGGCCAGAGGCGCACAGACGGATGGTGTTCGCGAATTCGGCCGCCACGCTGGCACCCCTGGATCCATTTCCAGTGTTTCTGAAAGCTGGCGAAATCGCCAAATGCTGGCGAAATCGGGCAAAAAACGGCTCTGGCTGGCGATTGGCCGAAGGCCATCGCCAGCCAGAGCTGGCGAAATGAGGGCAGGCGGCAGGGCATGGTCGCCAGCCCGTCGCCATCCCCCATGACTGGCATCGCCAATATATTGAGGGAAAATGGCCAAATTTCCTCAGGAACTTCATTCCATAGTGTTAAAAAAGCGCCAGCTTTCTGGGGGCTTCGGCGCTCCTGCCCCTTCTGCGCCGCCCGGCCCGGCCGAGAGGCCAAGAAGGCATCCACGTCCGCTCCGAGCCGAGCCTC